TATTTTTCAGAAAGAATGTATTTTCAGACTCCTCCCAAGTTTCTATTTTATCTTGCGTCTGAATTGCACTTAAATCAGGTGCTAAACTTCATTTGTAATCTGTCAGGTTGTTCAGACCTCCAAAGGGACGAATCATCACACACCCTGTAAATCAAGTCTTGCTGTGTGTCTGTCCAGTAATGTATGTCTATCCTTTCACAAGTACACCTTACCGTTTTTTGAGGTGGTCTTTTGGTTTTGATTGTGCATTTGTCAGAATGGTGCTGAGATCATTGATTCCACAAAGGACTCTTAAGTCTTGTAGGGTGCTCTGATTGTTCTGAGTATTGCTTAGTCATGTGGAATCCAAATGGATATGTGGACTATTGCTTGAAGAAGCTGAGGAAGTTATTAAACTGTAAATAGACGTCTCAAAATTTTACAGTCCACAGATCTCATCTTCTTTCCTATTTATTTCCTTTATTTTTCACTTTATTGGTTTTCATCAAAGAAAATTCAGAAGAACTAAGGGTGTGGTTTGTGCCTTCTCCTATATCTCTGTAGGTAATCACAGACAAAGGAGAAAGCCCTGAACTTGCTCTCTGAATAATGCTAGGTTTAAAAGAACTTGACTCTGGTTTATAGACAATAAAGATTATATACAGGTATATGGATGTCTATAAAATGTATTGAAGAGCTCACCTCTTTTTCCATGCTTGCAGTTCCTTAATAAAATATATGATCAATTAAAACCAATTCAGTCCTTGTTGGAGAGAGATTGAAACCAGTTTTGGGTTTTGCAAATTCTGGGCTACTCTCTCACCCAATACAATCAGAATTTCTGGCACAATAGACAGCTTCCCTGCATCCACCCAGCAGCTCTTCCTTTCCTGACTCTGCCACAGGCATGACCACTATATTACAGCTGCCAGAAGCCCGTTTGTATAAAGTGAGTACACTGGTTAATTTTCTTTTCCTGAACTTCAAGGACTTTTTCAGTCACGTAAAGATCTGCTCTGGAAAGAATAAACTTCCTTGGGAACCAGTTATTGCAGTTGTTTAGATCACATTCAGAAGAACCATTGCCTGAACTGAAAGTTCAAATGTCCCTACTCCTATTTAACACATGCACATTTGTTCTCTCACCTGTGCCTCTAATCATTTTTACTGCCTATTGCTGGAAGTTTTTTCTCCATTTCTTTCTGACAAAGCTGAACAAAATGATGGAGGGAAGCCTGTATCAACAGCTATAATAAAGCCTTGTGGGATTCCAAAGCATACATATTTATCCAAGTAACTCATCTACCATGTTTTCTTCAAATTTTATTTAGATAATTAACATTTGGTTCATGGTATACTTGAAAATAATTTATTCATGTTTCCTGTCAACTCATTCAATGTATCTTTTGTCACCTGATAAAATAAGTAGGAAATTGATGCATGGAATATTTGAATGCGTTATATGGCATTAGGGAATTTCAACCAGAAAAGACAGTGGGATTTTCCTTGTATTAGTCACAGTGAATATGTTTGTTCCAGAAAAAACAGATGGAAAGCTTGTGGATGGTCTGTTAATACCTTGGGAAAATTCTTCAGTAACAAGTTCTTCAGTAATAAGTATCCCTATTACATTGCCAACATCAGTAATTTATTAATTTATCTGCCACATAAATAGTGTCAGCTCTGGAAAATGGGGGAGTAACGCTACATTTTATGTCCTTGAATTGTTCTTTATTTTTACTGGGGACACGCTCTTCTCTTAATTTTACATGCCATAGTTTTCAGATTATGTTCTCAAGCTTTTCTTATGTTGCATCTAGAAGTTTTCTTCTTGCAGTATAGTGATTTCATGTAGTCATCTTCCTGTAATTTTTTAAACGAAATACGTTAAATATGGCCTGGTAATTAAAGTGCAAGAAAGGAAGCCAGGACAACTGGGTTTTATTTCTCCCTTTCCTGCAGATGTATGCCTGACCTTTAGTTAAAGTATTTATTGATTTGCCTTCTCTAATACATGTTTGCAGATCTGTGTGGGTAAATACACATATCTGATTTAAAAAAAAAAACAAAAAACCCACAACTATTCTGTACACATAGTGTTTCCAGTTCGTATAAGATAAAATGAATGAGGAACATTTGTGATGAACATTTAACTACTTCTGTAATCCAAGGACTGGTGTGGACATAAACTAGAAGTGATCTAGTGTGGAGCTGGTAGGGGGTAGGCTCTCAACAGTATTTTACATGACTTGAAACGCAGGAATACACTGAGGTGGCAATGTGAAAGGAGCCAGAAATCCCCTAGTCACATTTCTCATCCCTTCCCACTGTCCCTCCCCAAACTTGTACTTGCTTTTCTCTACCGATTAATAAGCACAGAACAGGAATCTGAGGAGACGAAAATCATAATTTCACAGTGTTTTTTGGAAAAGGAAGGTAGCCTTCAAGGAATGCAAAAAATATCACACAATGAAGAGCACTGTATTTCAGAAGTGAGGAGGTTAATAGATAACATGAAATTTAAGAAAGCCAAATTGAATTAAACCTTACAGTGAAATGCAAATTGATAAAACCTTATTTTGCTATGTAAATAAAAAAAGAAAAAGTGAAGAAGTAGGCCTGATGTGCAAGTGAATTAAGACAGTCTTAATATAATCAAGGTTAGGTTCCAAAACCAAATTATTTTCTTACATTTGCTGTAAACAAAGCTGATGCTGAACATAGGCTGTAAGCAAGTGGTTAATGGGAATACACTGTCTCCTAGGTTATGAGTGGAAGCAGACCTCAGAAACTTCACTCCAGGTGGAGAGGAATTGGTAATTTCTGTTCCAAAATTATGAAAGAAATGGCATAGGGTATAGTAAACCTTTATTTACTAAATAATAGATTACACTAGATTAACTGCATCATCTTTGATAAGATGACTGGTTTTATATGTAAGTAGGAACAAGCAGATCTAATCTTCAAAGTTCAGGAAAGTGTTAGAAATTATTTGGTGTATGTTATTATTTATTCTAGAGAAATTGAAGTTTAGTAGAAGAATTTTTGTGTGCAGTTGACTGAACGGGAGAAGCCTGAGCTTCGGGAAAATTGGCAGCAGTTACTCAAGTTTTAGTCTTGTGATTGATACCATTTATTTGTATTCAAGCAGTAATGGATTTAAACTAAAGAAGAATGGATTTAGACTAGACATAAGGAAGAAATTTTTTACAATGAGGGTGGTGAAGCACTGGAACAGGTTGCCCAGAGAGGTAGTGGAGGCCCCATCCCTGGCAACATTCAAGGTCAGGTTGGCTGGGGCTCTGAGCAACCTGATCTAGTTAAAGCTGTCCCTGCTCACTGCAGGGGGTTGGGCTAGATGACCTCTAAAGGTCCCTTCCAACCCAAAGCATTCTATGATTCTATGATTCTGTGATTCTATTCACAGACCTATGTCTGTGTCCTAAAGAGCAAGTTGCTGTGTTTATTGATAGAAAGTTTTGGTGACCAGTACTTTCTTACAACACAGCAGGAAAGAAACCCGAGTTAATCTGTGCTGCCTCAGTTAACAGTTAAGCACAGGTGACATACCAGAAAATTGATGAAATGCTGAAAACCCTGAAAACAAAGAATTACTTCTTGTTCCAAATATTCTGAATTTTCTCTTGTATTTGCAAAACCAAAGCCATCCGTTTAGTTTCAGCAAAGGAAGTTAATATTTTTTTGGCAAAACTGAGTTACAATCTGTGTAACAAATTACTGTAGACATACATATATTTTTGATCACATGTAACTTTTGAAGGAGGTCTGAGATAATGTCATTGAACTGAATAGTTCCTAACATTTAGTACTAAATGGAAGGTGATTGTTTTTATCTATATGAAAGCAAAGATTAAATAACAAGAACAACAGTATTTTTTGAAAATACTATCAGAATCATTGATAAAACTTAATCTCTGACAAGTTAGATTTGTTTGACTTTCTGTATTATTACGCTTTTATTTTATGTTGTGTCTTAAGTACACTTTTATAGCAGATGATATTTCAGAGTATATATGCAAGTCCAAATAAAACAATAACAATATATTGGTTTTATTGACGCATGCAGTTCTAGAGTCAAGAGAAGTGAGATGAAGTGGTGAGAAAGACATATATTAATAACAGATGTGGAAAATACTGTAAATGGGAATTCCTTCTTGGAAAGTATGATTTTAAAAAAAGTTTTCTTTTCTAATCTATAATTGAGAGTAGCTTTGAACAGCAATTTAAAAAGCCAGCCATTTGATGGTTTAACACCTTTTAGCTCTTAGTTTATATATGGAACAAAGACAACTAAACATACTTTTATCAACATGTTTTCATGAGAGGAGTCCAAGAGACTGTTTTGGCAATGCTCTGGCCTTGTACATGTGCTGAAGTGTCATGATCTGAAATGACAGAAGCTTTTGGGTTCTTGAATAAACAGTTCAAACGTGAAGATTCTGCAGAAGATGCAAAGGTGTGGCCCCAAAGTTAACTGCTCCCAATAAATCTGCACAAAGTTTGCAAAAGGCATCAAGGCATGGCAACCTTTGAGGGTCACACAGTCAGGAAGAAGGAAGAGAGTTATGAAATACCATGTATGCTTTTGCTGGTTTTGGGAACCCTAAATGCAAACTAAGAAACTCTTGTGTCACTTCAGTTATAGCTAAGGACGTATTAAAGATATGTTAAAGATTAGATCACACAGATGGGGTTTTGAGTTGCAGATTTTTTTCTCTCAGGAGTATGTCATGGCAGCACTGTGCTTTTTTCCTGAATGATTTTTCCATTGCACAGTAGCCCTTTCTTAGGCCATAGAAGGTCTAAATAATCCACTGTGCTGTATCAGAGCTACAGCCTGTATAGTAATATGATGAAAGACATTGTATTTCCTGTCCTACTTATTTCACAATAGAAATATAATACTAATACTAATAATTCTAATACACTATACTGAAGCCGTTACTCCTCTAGCTTATTACAGAAATGTCTCTGCCTTTTTCAAAAATAAATAGGGTTTGATGGGACCAGAAGGCTCGTTTGGGCTACCTGGAGCACCTGGGCCTAAGGTAAGTGTTTGTGTTAATTCACTTGTGATTTTGATAAATGACTACTTTATAGATGACAAAATGCCAGGATTTTGCAGCTAATTTTTTGGTATATTGAATATTGGTGAGTAGCTATATGATTTTCCCTATATTACCTTATATGATAGTTCAGTCTCAAGAGAGCTTAATATAGCTCAGTAAATGGTGCCTGTGATCCCATGAGGTTTGAAACAATTGCAGAAATGGTCATGAGACTTTGTTTCAGCTTCGCAGTCCTGGAAAATGTTCTGCAATGCTGGGAGCCAGATAATTCTCAGTATACATCAGAACTTTCTGCCCATGTTACATTTATTTATATTTTAATTGTGTTAAATAACGTTACATGCTGCTTTTTCCACCCGAGGAGCCAAATTTATTTCAGATGTAACTTTATTGATTGCACTGCAGCTACAGCAAGAATTAATTTGACCCATGCTCTCAGAAACTAAAATAGATACTATAAATCCAGATCTGTTAGTGCAACCTTTTAATTTAATCCAAGAGGAGTTTGGCTAGTAAGCACTGAATTGTATGTCCTAGAGAATATTTAGGAATATAGAATCCATTTCCTGAACTTCGTATTTGCATTTAGCTCCATTTCCACCCACACATTATTTTATATCCAAAAGTACATGTGTATTTATTTAAAATTGCATACTGAAGGTAACATTTTTTAAAGTGGTCAATGTTTGCTGTGGTCAAGAAGATTGAATACCTATCAAATGACTAAATGTTAATTAGCTTTATTTTCATTTGCGAAAAGTGCTTTTGTTTTGTGTATTTCTCTCTCATTCAAAATATAAACTGATTCTTACAGAATCATTCTTAATAAGCTCATTTTTACAGAAGAGCATCATAAAGTAATCAATAATTCTTAGATGATAATGAAAATCCTTGTGCTGTGTATATGCCTAATTCCATAGGCTACAGTAAAAACCAAAACATAAGCATATTTTGGCTCAGACAGGTCCAAGGATTTTCCGTTTTAGTAAATAAGATGGTGGAAATGTGAAGTCAGTACACACGAACATGGTATGACTGGGCAAGGGAAATGAGCCAGGTGGGGAAGGGACAGGTGAGCAGAGGCTGGCAGATCACATTTTGTGATCAGTATCTCATCTTTCCTGAGAGAAAGTTGAAACTTCACGTTTCCTATAAGGGAGCAGAACTTTAGCCTTTCAGTCACCAGCTGTGGTTATTTTTAAGAGCCAGTTTCCCAGCAGTGTCTGTTTATGTTTGCTATTCATACCACATACGACAAAACATACTGATATATCAGCCATACTCTTACATTGTTATACAGGGCGATAAAGGCGAACCTGGAATGCAGGGGAAACCAGGATCATCAGGAGCCAAGGTAAATATGAATCTGGAAGTATTCTAGTTAAAGGATGGATTGATTGGCTTTTCCATGATTTACTGATTTTCCATGATTTTTCATGACTAGTTAGAAGGCAGTTTGTTTCAAACTAAAACAGTAGTTAACAAAAATTCACATCAGAATCCATTTGATGGTTTATTCTTACTAATTTTATGGTAGATTTTAGGCAGTGTAAGTCAGCTGTTCATGAAGTTCAAACCTGCAAACACTGCCATTACTTCAGATAGTTTTATCTGTGTAATTTTGAAAAATCAACATCAAGTGTATTAACAGGCAGTTAAAAAAGATAGATACCAGAAAACTAAAGTTAAGAATTAGGAGTCCCTTTTGTGGCTTCTCTGTATTCAACATCCCTTCACAAATTCTCCAGACATTTGAATCATCCTCAGTTATAAACTTTCAAAATATGATAGCCAAAGCATATCATGTGACCTTGAGAAAACATGCAGTATATGTTTTTACACACAGCACATCACTGACAGAGTTATTGTATTACCCAGGGAGAACTAGGATTACCAGGTGCTCCAGGCGAACCAGGCTATTCAGGCATTCCTGGTACCCAGGGTATAAAGGTGAGTATTTTTTCCAGTTTTACATTAACTACATATTTTATTGGAGGTGCTTTTCTTATAAATGATCATTATTGAAATCTTTTTTCAAAATACATAATTATTATTAGAGAATAGCTGGTATATTTTGGAAGGCCCATTCTTTAGAAAAACAATCATTTTTCATAGGGAGGAGAGAATGGCCAAAATGGAGACACTGTTAACATAAAACGCTATGGCATAGGTATTAATGAAACTTCTATTATGAATTATGGTACATAATTGTATGACCCATGATTCTGTATTTACTTAGTCTTGTATCTTATAGCAAGTGCTACCTCTATAAAGTCTATTGTACAAAGTATTTTGTGGACCTCCCGTAAGAAGTGGAGCAATTGACCCTAGGCAGCTGGGACAGATTCAGCTGAGTTAGCCTTAGCCATCAAGAGTTATCTAACCAAGCTTCTCTCCATATTTAGCTGAGAGAGTCTGAGCTCCTTGGGGAGTTATTAATTCACATCTCTACACCTTTCTTTGACTGTCAGTGAAGCCTAGACAATTAGCTAAATTAAATGTTGACATTTTAGATGGCAAAAGTTAGGTTAGATGGAACCTACTTCTACTGTACAGGTTGAAAATTATTTCTTCTTTTCAGACAAGAACCTATGTTTATTCGTCTTGCATACTGAGTTCTCATAAAGATCATGCTTTCAAGGGTCTTACCATCTCTTGGTGCAGCCTTAAATCTATCAAACACTGCTATAGACATGGTTATGCTGAAATTCTTCATTGCTGAAGAACTGTTTTGTGAACACATTGTAAGATTTCGTATTGGTGTTTGACTTATCTGGATAGTTATCCTTATTTTTAAAGTGTAGGTATGTAGGATTTTCTGACAGTCACATGTCTTCAAGGAGTCCCAGGTTGAAAAGATTATAGGCAGTGTTGTTCTTTGGCATGTTTTGGAATTCAAGCACACAGCTTTTTGCGTAACTTAAAGCTGTAATTAACATTACATTAAATTCCTTCCTAGAGATTTTCTTCTGCAAGATGACAGCATTCTACTAAAAAATCTCATGTGTAGTTGAAACCTCTCAGTTTTGTCTGAGCCAATAAGGCAGAAATTTTTGTTTGACTGGAAGCTGGAAAGCCCCTAGAGTATTTCTGGTTTTAAAATACTCATTTTTATCTTAGTATAACTCACAGAACTGACTGGAGTGTGAAGTGAGTCTCTTGAGGAAAAATCAGCTATGATTTGTCTATAGAATGGATTTAAGAACCTGAAAATTAGAAGTAATTGAAAATCATTACTCTTCGTGCCCTGTGGGTAACTACAAAGAACTTAACAGAGTTGTGGTTTCTAGATGATGTTTTTTTCAGGATGGAACCTTTCTTTTATGTAACTTAACCAAGAAAGAGAGAAAGACCAAGAATTTATACAGAGAAAGACCAAGAATTTATATTTTACCTATGCTATAAGGCAAATTTATGTGAAGGAAACACTACATGTTTATTTGAAACAGCTGGAGAAAAACTATTCACTGTAATCTTCAATAACATGATTTGAGGAGAGTTTTGGAGTTGAACACCTGTGAGCGCTCATGGTTCAAAAATGGTTGAAGTCAAATCAGTTCCATTGCTGTAAATCAATTAATTCTCATTCTAACTGAAGCTCTGACTTTATCCATTACATTTTTAGTCTAACTTTTAATCAAGATTTCTTTATTCTGGACACTTTTAAAGCATCTTTAATATGTACATCCTGAAAATTAAATGTTTCATCGCTTTGCAAGATAACAAGTACTGCTATTACTTTCATTATTTTCTTGTATATTTATGGGAAAACATGACAAAGAAATTTTTCTTTTCCAGTGAGTTTCTTAATTGGCATATACAAGTATAAAGCTTATTTTAGTGTAATACTCTTTCTTTGGAGCAATATAAGTGATCTGATGTCATGGAATAGATAGACTTGTTTCCTTAGGGTGTAGTTTGCTATAACTAACAAGCTTTACCTGCAACTATTCAAACTAGATATTTATTCAATTTAATCAACAAGTTGTTGAGGTTAAAAATGTTGCTATATTTGCTATCAACCCAAATTTAATATTTAAATGTAAAATTTTAAATTTAAAAATGTAATATAATTTTAAACTAATTAAATGAATACAATTAAATTAATAAGTTAAATCAAATTTTAAATTGTATTTCAACTGATACAATAATAACTTCAAAACTGAATATATAGGAAAAATTTATATAAAAATAAATTAAGTGTGTTTAGGTAATATATCTGACACTTGTCTTAGAAATCTAGCAATGTTTCCTGGGAAATACTGGAGTCTCAACTAGGACAAAGATTTCTCCATTACATATTCAAATTACAGATTTCAGAATAAACAGGAAATCCTGTAAAAGCAAAGGAAGCTCAGGTAAGGTGTCAGATAGAAATAAGCAGTAAGTGAAAAATGGTAATGCATGTGTGTAGTATTACCAGCAATGTAGAGGACCACCTTTTGAAGGATGAAGCCCTTCATAAAAAGTCATTACAGAAATATAGTTGAATCAGGTACTTCACTATGGAAAGAAAGGTTGAAGGGTAAAGAAGCAGTAAGTTAGAAGGGTGGTGTTATATTTAAAGTTTTCTGAAAATCCCATGCAGAGGTATTCCACTAGACTTCGGCTTCTGCTCCAGAAGGGCACAGATTGCCTGTATGTCCAGTGTCATATATACCAACCACGTATGTATGTCTTAGGTATGCTAGAGTATTTCAGATGTCAGTAGACATGTATGGGGATGCCTTGGGTTGCCTAGACTATCTTAAATGCCTATGTTTAGATAACTGAAGCAAGTCCCTGCAATGGAGGCTAGAGAATGATCCAAATTTAGATGAGGTTATCTCAGCTAAATGAGGTAAGGGACCCTGAGTTCCATTTTCCAAGATGTCACAGTTTTGGCTGGGACAGAGTTAATTTTCTTCCTAGTAGCTGGCATAGTGCTGTGTTTTGGATTTAGGATGAGAAGAATGCTGATAACACACTGATGGTTTAGTTGTTGCTCGGTAGTGCTGACACTAGTCAAGGACTTTCCAGCTTCCCATGCTCTGCCAGGTGCACAAGAAGCTGGGAGGGGGCACAGCCAGGACAGCTGACCCAAACTGACCAAAGGGCTATTCCATACCATATGGCGTCATGCTCAGTATATAAACTGGGGGGGGTTGGCCGGGGGGCAGCGATTGCTGTTCAGGGATGGGCTGGGCATTGGTCAGTGGGTGGTGAGCAATTGCATTGTGCATCACTTGTTTTGTATATTCTTTTATTGTTATTATTATTATTTTGTCTTCCTCTGCTGTCCTATTAAACTGCCTTTATCTCAGCCCATGGGTTTTACTTTTTTTTTTCCTATTCTCTCCCCTGTCCCACCCGGGGCGGGAGGGTGAGCGAGTGGCTGCGTGGTGCTTAGTTGCCAAGTGGGGTTAAACCACGACACAAGGCAAGATGTAGAAAAATGAGTCTTCTGACCATTTTTAAAACAGTGATTTCCAGAGCGCATGAGGACAAAGGTTTCCTGGCTTAAGTCTTTCAAAATGTACTGAAGCCCAACGGAAGCGTGACTTAGAGTTGAGTCAGAGTCATAACAATAGTTCACTTAGTTTCACTAGCACCATATATTCAGTTTCAGTATCTAAGGGTCATGTAAGGTGCATGTGCCAAGACAGTAATACTGATTTTAAGAAGGGAGATTTTGTTAAAGTTTATGGAACCTCTCTAAATTTTAAACTGAAGAAGCTTTTGCAAAAGTCATTATCCATTTTATAGAAAAGATGCAACTCAGAATATATATTGCTGGTTAACTGGAGTTACAAGTCATAAGTATGACATACTCTTGAATTCATCAGGAAAAAAAGTTCAGTTTGGGCATCTGACAGTAAAAGTGAAGCCTTTCAGCTATAGTTTATTTTAAAACTTGAAACCAAACCAAATATTTTACATTCAAGTACAATACAACGAAATACAGCTGGCATAAATACCCTCTTATGTTCTGGGATTTTCAATCAGGAAAATATTTGCCATGGCCAAAATCTCCTCTTTACTACTGTTTAGCATTTAACTAAAAATTCTCTCTTTCAGAAAACAACCCAAACACACATGTTTGGCTCTTACAAGAAAACTGGCAAAACAGATCCAAAAAACTCCATCCTAATTATTTTCTTTATTAAATGGAGTTTCACACACACCCCCACAGATCTCTTTTGTTTCATGAGTTGCTGCATTCTTGGCCCAACATTTTGATTCATGTCTATTTAAGCAGAGTCACACTGATTTAAGAGGTCAGAGGAGCCATCTCTCATAACTTTGTTTCCTTTTCAGTCAAGGAAGAGAGAGAGGCACGTTCTGGGAGTACATATTTTATACCTCTGTCGTTAATTGGCATGAATAGTTTTCAAGAGCTGCCTGTTTCTCTCCAGTGTCAATTGGATGGTGTTCAGACCACTTAAGAAACCTAGATACCTGCCTTTTAAGTACCATTTGCACCATCTGATTGCTAATCACCCAGCTAATGTTTATTTACTATAAACATTCCAATGAAAGTCAAAAGGAGTGGGTGGAAGTGGAACTTCGTCCGTACACAGTTTTGATTAAATTTAAATATAATCCTTTTTCTGATTAAAAATAAAAATTTTTTCTTTGGTGTGTCATGCATAACTTCTGCATTCCGTGGGTTAATAGTAAGCGTTACAGAGATTATTTATTCTCTGTGGGTGAAGGCAAACATATTTAGTGGTTATCATTCAGATGAAATTTAACCCATCAGAAATACTGCCCCTGTCCCTGCCTACATCCTCTCCACTCCCATGCACTGAGTGGATAAAGTCCTGCTGGATTTGCCACCTCATTATGTTGTATTTTTTAATTTTAACTTGGTATGTAAGTATCCACTTTTCTTTTTCATAGTTCTTTCTGTGACAGATTCCCTTCTTAATATAACTTTCTGTACTTTTCTCATTGTTTGTGTAGATGGGGTTAAAGTGATTTGCTTTCGTTCAGTACAAATAAAAGCTATTAGATGCTTCTCTTGTATTTACTGTGTTAAATTCAAACACAGACTACATGTCTTGGAGATGAATCATGTTACAATGGAGACTTTTCTTCTAATATTTTACAGGGGGACAAAGGAAACCAAGGTGAAAGTGGTATCCAGGTACATCAACTTTGTTTCTAATGAAATCATCTGGCAACACTGTTAATACAAGTCTCAGGTGTTAATTTGGGAGCTTTTTTGTAAGGTTAAGCTTCACAGAAGGTTTGCTTGAAGAATAGCAGCACTGAGCCCTAACTCTTCTTCAAGGAAAAGTGCCCAGTATGCCCAGTACAAATTTCCAGCTGCGTTTCTGGGGCTGAGCAGGCTCTTGACATTTGGTGCAGAGCTGTGTGGTCCTAGCAGTGGTGCCAGCCTCGAGAATGTGGGTTGTGCTGCTGCCCCAGGGGGCTGGGACATGACCCAGCGCTGTCCTGGGATGGGTTCTGTCCCTGTCTGCCCCAGGCACTGTGGGATCGCATAAATGCTCATAGTCGAAGTAAAGCCACCTGGCCTCTGCCTACCTGCTATGTCATAACCAGTGGAATTTTCCTCCTTGCTATCTGAAAGTCATAGAAATACCTTCCATAAAAGAAGAGTATCATGTCCACTACTCAGATCCTAACTTGGCTTCTCTGTGTTCGGAGTAGAAATTGTATCTTCTGCACAGTTTCTGCTCTGAACTCTTGAAAGGTAAATTTTCAGATTGATTGGGCCTGGTTTAGGATGAGATTTTAGGGTTTACCTTTTTGTGTTATTTTTGATAGTTTAACTACATCTCCCAGATAAGTGTATATTTTAAGAAAATGTGCTTCTGTTCTGAAGGGACTGAAAGGAGAGAAAGGAAGACAAGGAGATCCAGGCTTGCAGGTACTGTTAAAATAGTGATCCTAGTTCAAGAGAGCCATGATTCATATTTGTTTCTTAATATTACTTCCATCAACATGGATAGTTCTTTGCATCAGGTGAAATATATTTATATATCATATGATTACATAGTATAATATATAAACTAGCTCTTAAACAACCTTAGTGTTTTAAAAATAACAAATACAACACATACAGAACGATGGAGTCACACTTTTCTTGGCTGTGCACAGTGGAAGAACGAGTGGAAACGGACACGAGTTGGAACGCAGGAAATCCCAGATTCGTATATGGGACAAGCATTTTGCTGCTTTGAGAGTGGTCAAACACTGGAGCAGGCTGCTCACAGAGATTGTGGCAAAACCTGTCCGGACAGGGTGTCAAGCAGCCTGCTCTAGCTGGATCTGTTCAGAAAAGGAAGTTGAACCCATGGAGGTCCATTCCAACCTACATGTTTCTGTGATTCTGAGACATTATATCTTGAGAAACAGACCAGAAGTACATTTTTCTGGATTATTTTATTAAATCTTTAATTATGGAAAATTTTCATGAAACAATTATAAATAATATAAAATGCAGATAACAGCACAAAGTGGCGTTTGTGTAAAGGTTGTAAGAGTGATGCTTGAGATACTAAGATTTTGCATGTACACTTTCACGTAGTTCATTACTTCCTAGACTATACTGGGAGTCATTATTGACATCTTCTGTGCTCATAAATTACAGATGTTTCCTGTTTCAGCTGCAAATCAGTGAGATCCAGTTGTTTCTCTAACTCCGGGCCAATGTGTTCTGATTGTGTCATAGTTGGCTATCCTGTTATACCACAGAAAATAACTGTTAGTATTTATAAATACTTGTTAACTGCATAATCTATGTCGTGTCTGAACAGAGAAGTATTTGTTAGAGGTACATATCTAAAACTAGACTTGGAAGGAAGTCACAGTTGCTTTTTTCAGAATTACGACATCAATACAGCTGCCTGTCTAGCCAGAAGGAGCTGATTCCAGTGGAGCATGGGCAGGAGATCCAGATTGTATGTTAGCCTAGTTTTATCACTTTCAGGGGTATGTAGGTTGACAGGAGTCTGGTAGTAAAGCTGAGCAGATATTTTTGAATTAGTTTTCATCAAATATAATGCCCTACTCTAACATTTTACAAATCAAACTTTCTGGTTTTTTCCTTCGCAAATAATGGACAAATTTTTAATGTATTTATTATTTTAATCATAAGGTAAAACAAAATGATAGTGAAAGAAAACATTGATTTTTTTTCAGCTAGAATGATGCAACTGAATTGCTGTTGCTTGCTTTTTTTTTTTCCTTTTTGAGAAAGCTGGAAAAGTGATACAGGCTTGGTCTAAAATTGTTTCCCAGGCTTATCTAGTTTGGTCAGCAACCAAAAAAACCAGTCTTTCTCATACTTCTTGTGGACAGTGCTAGGTCCTTCTAAGGTTTCTCAAGCCTCCGGGACTTCTCAAAGATACAATACAGATTCCCTTGTCCAGAAGAGTATATCAGAAATGTGAAAAAGCCTGCACTGAACTGCCATCTTGCCATGGAACTTAAAGATCAACACCACCATTGAACCATTTGGCAGAAATGACACCAAAACCATTTGCTAACATGCAAAATCTGGCTTACAAACTGAGTTTGTATTTCAAAGGCTCTGAACTTGATTTCTGTCTAGTAAGACAGTATTAAACAGCTAGAATCAGGAGTTTCCTTTTGCTAGAACACAAAATTTTATTTCTTTTGTCTTTTGTAGAGTGAATAAGGTTTTGTCTATATGAACTTCTTGTACACTAATAAAATACATGGTTTATATGTACAATATATTCCCAACATATCCTTTTGGTCTATGATATTAAAGTTATTACTAAAGTGTTAATTCACCATGGTATACATTTTTCATCCTCATATGCAGTTTGGCTTTTGTACAAATAGCAGGCACAGAATCTTTAAAAATTGACATTTGTGTTTAATTATTGAAAACAAAGGACAAAAATATTATTTTTTCATTTCAAGTAATTTAGCTCAACTTGCTTTTTTATTTTTTTCATATTAATTCCTAAAGGGAGTAGAAGGATTGATTGGAGAACGAGGAGAGGTAAGTATTTTATAATGACAAATATAGTATTACAAAATTACTTCATTTGTTTCTGCAAATTATGTGATCTGTAAAATGTGTGTTTGCAGTCTTATTTCTGTACTTGCCTCTCTATAAGCAACAGAAGAGAAATGAATTGAGAAACATCAGAGAAGAGAAAGAACTATTAATTAGAGACATAGTGAAATATATATTTCATGAAATAAAAGATTACAAAAAATAATTAAAGCCAATAAGAGAATTAAACAAACAAAACCGAGGAGCTGGTTAAAGAAAGCAAATAATTAATTAAAAAAATCTAGAGATTCTAAGTTCATTGAAAAATAAGAATATAGTTCATAAAAGAATACAGAATACTTGATCAAAATGATCCATATTGTTCAGCAGCAGCCAATAATAGCAGGGATACAAAAGTAAGGCACAGGATACACAAAGAAGATGATTATTCTTGTATACCTTCACTCTTTTTGGCAGTCAACAAATCAGGGGCATATAAGTTAGAGATCAAGACCATTGCATTTAATGTCAGTCTTGAATTTGCCTAATTTCTTTTGGACTGTGCTGATATACTGTACTTTCAGCTTCCATAAAAGTCTGTCGTAAGGACTTCCACAGCTGAACTATTTGTCTTGTGTGTTTTAAGTTTCACCAGCTTAAAGATTTCTTTGTGTGCCTTCATTTCAAAGCTAATGAAAAGAAATGTAGCAAAGCCTTTACAAAGTGGGGTTTTTTTTTAGAGGATTCTGTTGTTGAGACTGACGCAGAAAATGTAGGGCAGAATTCTTTCTCTGTACTACTAAGTTTTTTGCAGGAATAATTCAACTCAGCCTGAAACTTGAGGGGCATAAAGGGAAGCCTGCTTGGACTGCTGTTGGTCTGTCAGAAGCTGCATTTGTTGCTCTCCAGGATATTTTTAGAAGCCACATTTTTTTTTTCTTGTGTTTGGCTAATGTAGATATATTATGGCCAGACCTTTTAATCTTTGTGTTGCATGTTGTTTAAAAATTGGTATTTAAAAGATCAACTTTGTTAGTTATTTTTTTATTTATTCCAATATTCAGTGAAATCAGGGTACACACTGTCCCATTAATATAATTCTCCTTCAACTTTATTTAGAGATTTCTTTGTTCAACCCTTTTTCATTAAAGCATTGTTGCATATCGATAACTGGACATATTCATTGGAAGTTTAATTCTGATAATTAAATAATTTTATGCATTTAAACATATAAGTTGCCCTGTATGCTGCTGTGGTTCTATGAAATACTTAAAATTACAGTTTGGCTTATAGGTCATTTGCTAAATCATTGCCAAGATCGGTAAAAGATTCCTTGTATGCTATTGAACTAGCCTCTTTAAATATTGTAAATCATGGTCATAATAAATTTCTTCTGAAAAATTCTTTTAATAATACTCTTACTATATACACTAAGATATAATGTCACTATGTTTACTTATCAGACCTATAAAATTAGTTTATTTTCTATTTTTATAAAATACGTTGTCTTCTGTTAGACTCTGACTTCTCAATAGAAAGTTTCCTCAGTCTGTAATTCTCAGCACTTACTGAACTCTTTCCTTTTTTTTATTTTCATTGCCAATAGCAAGGGTCAACAAACAAGGCTGCACATAGGATGTGGCTGAGCATTGCAAGACCAAGATATACTTCAGAAAATGTTCCCTCAGCAGTTTCATTTGCTTTTTGGCAAGTTCTGCAGACAGTTGTGCTGATGGTTGGACTGGATGATCTTAAAGGTCTTTTCCAACCTAAACGATTCTATGATTCTGTGATTCTATGCTTCCAATGTTTTGTCCTGGTGTTTTTACACTGGCTTCTTGCCTGTAATGTTTTTCTACAATAGATGCCATTTTCCCAATATTTCACAATATTTAACATTTAGTCCAAATAAATCAACTTGCAAGTCAGATGTCTTTTATGTAAATATAGTCCATAGCTGTAAAAGTAATTAAAATTAAAACAAATAACTTCTAGCTACAAGAACAGTAGGATTTTCAGATCCCAGCCTATATAGCTTCTAGTATAGCCACAGGCAGCTGCATATGCTCCATATGTTTATCTCTGAGCCTTGCTGTCCCTGTTAAATGAAAAAATAATTTGTAATTGTGTACTAGAAATGAACAAGTACAAATCTACATGTTGTAACTAAGAGTGCCAGTTCTCTATGATTACAACATCCAAGTTGACAGTATCAAGAAAATAAAACACGACCTTGGAAAAAGTCAGTTCTGAATTAGTGTATAACTTCTGTAGTGGGAAGAGGGTATGGACTGCTGTTCAGTTCATGCACGGCATCTTACTGGTGGACCATCTTTGCAGCAGTACTCTTAGGCTCTTGGCTGACATCTGTCATATTTTGCCTCATTTCTCTTTTTTTAAGAGGAAAAACTACCTGCCTTATTTTAATGGTTAGCTCTCTGCATAAAACTGAGTAATCCGGTACTGAATTTGAAGCTTGCTACCCTGTAATAATTCATGTGGAGAACTCTGGGCATTGTTACTAATTCAGACCAAGCCAGAAAGCTTTGAATTTTTCTGATGTAAAGAATTTTGATAAGTACTATATAGAATGATACAAAGTAATATAAATACCATAATTTAGAATTCAGTGTAAGTCTATGAAGACTGTATGCCTGAGTGCTTCTTAAACTCGCATTAATTGCTCCAGTAAGTTTTGTCATATATAGTAATCCTGCTGCCTTGTTTCCATAATTCCATCTAAAATAGTTGGAAAGGGCAAAAGAAAATTTTGAAGCAACTGATAACATTATGCAGAAGCTGTGCAAAAATGGAAGGAAAAATCTCATCAGGGAGCAAACATAGTATACTAATTTTAATCTTGGGCACGTACCAAATTACAGTGTACTGGTCTTTTGTTGGCTTAAAGAGTTCCATGTGAACTATTGCAGTAGGTAATTCCATACATAGAAGAACCATTGCTTTGATGAAGATATGTCAGAATATTTTCCAGTATTATTTTAACCTTTCGCAGTGAAGCAAATGGACTACAGTTGTTATCAATCATATGGAGAATAAATTAAGTCAGAAAAAAACAACAGAAAACCCCTAACTGAAATCAAACTTTTTTTTCCTTTGTCTTATACACTACAGGCATAGGGTAAAAGTCTTCATTATTATAGTACGTTTGCCAAGAACCTCAGTGATGCCAGAATTTCACTTCTAATTTTTCCAGCCTTCTAAGGATCTTAATGTATTGTAACAAATTGCCTAGCTCTCATGAAAAAGTGAATAAAGCCTTTCCTTCTATATGTTAATAAGGAAGACTGTTTTGTTTTATATTAATTAGTAAGTAAAATGGGTCCTTAAAGTTAAAAAAAATATAATGGTAATTTATTTCTAGTTATATTTGGTAAATAAATGTATCTGAAATGGTTACTAAAGAATCTGAAAACTTCACTACATGTTAGTGAAATAGATCTCATCAGTATCAAGTTAGTTTTCAGTGACAACATACTAATTTTATGAAGATCATCAATGAAGATTTTCTCAGAATATGTTTGCTTGGTGCTACCTAGCTTCCAAATGGTCTGTGAAGTTATGACTGGCTTTTTGTTGGTTTTCATTCCAGAAAGGTGAGAAAGGAGATCCAGGCATTCGAGGCATCAATGGGCAAAAAGGAGAATCCGGTATCCAGGGTTTGGTTGGACCTCCTGGTCTCAGAGGTCAGCCAGGAGATAGAGGACCCCCAGGACTACCTGGATCAGATGGAAAACCTGTATGTATAGGACCTCAAACTTGTCATTCTGGGTACCTTAAAAACCCCAAACAAATGCATGCTCTCTGTTTTTTTAACCATTCTCTGTTCAATTCAGGCACGAGAATTTTCAGAAGAATTTATTCGACAGGTGTGTTCAGATGTACTGAGAAGTAAGTTTGAAAGCCTCTTTACTATTCTTTCCTTGATAAAAGTGCTAAAGAAGTTTTCTGGTAATTATAAAGAAGCTTTCTTGAAAACCAGATCGATATTGCTGATTTATCACTTGTTTACTTACAGGTGTGGAAATATATTTCCACACCACAGGTTGTTTACTTTACCATCTTGTTTCCTAAAGGTATCATGCTCTCTAAAGAGAGGAAACTGTTTTTGTATTAGTGGCTAGAGGGCATATTTTTATATTTTATTGTTACAACACTCTAAGCAATTTTTTGTTTGAATTCTCCCAGCCCAGTTGCCAGCCATCCTCCAGAGTGGAAGGCTACAAAACTGTAACCACTGTCAATCCCAAAGTGCTTCACCGGGACTTCCAGGACCACCAGGTCCAAGAGGCCCTGAAGGCCCAAGAGGGTTTCCTGGTTTACCAGGAAACGATGGTATTCCGGGGCTGACAGGCATCCCAGGTCGCCCTGGGGCTCGTGGGACAAGAGGTACTGCGTGCACGTGCAATGGTGCTAATGGCCTTTATGACTGTGTTTTCTGCTTCCAGTTTTGAATGGGATTAGTGCAGGGTGGAGTAAGGGAATAGCTGGGTTTGTGTCACAAAGTGTAATTGAGGACGTGGTGCAATGTGAATATTTCACTGCTTATGAAGAATGCATGTCAGAAGAGAAAATACAAGAACGCAACAGATAGCTAGTGTTCAGTTCTACTATAGTCAAACTTTGTTTTGATCTTTTTACACAGTTGTTAGTCTCATGTAAATATTTTTAACTGCATTTAGGTTTTTTTTTTTAGATCAAATATGCTTAGACATGGATTTCAATGTATTTCCATGTTTTCTGGTTTCTTTTCTTCCAAATTTCTTTGTTTCTGCTATTTCGAAGAATATATCTATTCACTGGCTATTTACTATCTGCTACCCTGTAGGCTGATTTTTGGCATGTGACAACCTTTATACTCCCTCTGATTTCCCGGGGGTTTCTCCCTTTTTTCTTTTTCTCTCTTAAGGATTTTTACTCCTTTCCTTATGCTTTTCTTAAACATTCTGGTTTCTTTCTAGGCAAGCTGAGGTTTATGCTTTCACGTAACTCATCCATCTGAGCATTCCAACTGATTTCTGTGATGTATTTGCAGACTTTAAGTTAAGTTTGCATATATAGTCTGGAACTGGACCAAGAGAGTGGGTGAAGTCCACAATTTGGTAACCGGTCCGAGCAGCAACTGTGTTTCCTATAGCATCAAAATAATCAGGAAAGCTGTATGAAATACAGCTAGCTAGTAATGTGCCAAGGGTAGGCAGGCTAATGGTTGGTAAATATTTGCTTTCTTTGTGACTTACTAACTGTGACCTAGCACATCAAATTAATTTTGGATGTAATGCTGATTTGTCTGTAGTGCTTTTATAATTTCATCTCCAGTAGGAGAATATGCGGTTTTCCTCTGAAGGTGGCACTAACAGTGTTGGCTATTCTGTAAGAGTTGGAAAAATAGATATCTGTTTCTATGAAGAAACTGAATGTATTGGGTTGTACTAGTGTAAGAGAGCACATATTTTGCCCCTCTCAGTATTTCTTTGGTGGAGATGTAATTCTGCTGTATGATGTGGAAGATTGTCTGTATATTCTGTATTCCACAGGTACTGTGGTGAATACCTTACACTTCCTTCACACAACTTCTTAAAAACTTTGCCAATGGAAAGGCAATGACAGCAAATTTCTTAATTGCCCATCATCTGTTCCCTCAACTCAAAGGGGCTGTCTGCTTAACAGGTGCTACATCAGCTCTTAATTCAGTAGAAATGAGGATCATTTAGAACCCAGTTACACCATGCAGGTTACAAGTTACATGCAAGTTACAATGCGTACTTTACATCCTATTATTTGTTTTTGAACTCTTACATTTTTTATTCAATAAGTATTATCAAATGCTGACTTCCTCATTCATTGGATGAAAACATTCCTAGTGTGCAAAGATATACATATGTTTGCTAATTCACAGGACTGCCAGGGAAAAATGGCGCAAAAGGCAATCAAGGAATTGGGGTTCCTGGGATCCAAGGCCCCCCAGGACCTCCAGGTGAGAGATGGTTCAGCTGTGCAGATTCAGTGCATGCTAATAATTTAAAAAAAAATGTGGTTTAGAAAAAACATTGATATAATTTGGAAAAACTTAGTTTTTGCACATCTTAATTACCATATATGTTTTATGGCTAATGCCCATCTCTTGCATGCCTTTTAAACTGTCATATAATACATTATTTAATATAAGACAGGTCTTGTAGATAATGGTACCTGAGACTGCTGTTTCTTGATAGGTGGATCTTTAAGTCAGCCATTATCAGAAAACTGAGCACTGATACAATTGTGTGACTTGTAAGCATGCTTACTGAAGGAAAATGTTCTTCTCAACAGCAGTGTATTCACGCAAAAGGCAAAGCTGAGCATTTGGAAAAGATATTAGGGTCTGATCCAAAGCCAGAGAAATGAAAAGAAATTTGAGGCCTCCGATTCGTATCATGGTGGTTCCAGATTATATGATAGAGTATAGCAATGTACTAAAGTAGATTTTTATATTTCCTTTTACAAGTTATTTTTATTTAAAGTGTTTCCACATGCTTTTTTTAAAAAAAGCTCTTAATAAGTATTAAGTACTTACTTAAGTATCATGTTGGTTAAATAAACATATAAGCAATTTGTGACAAGAACTGTCTTTGTCAGAAAATGAAGTTTTCTTTATCTGCATACTTCACCAAAAAGCAAGGGATTTGTGAGTCTGTACTTGCTGTTGTTTTCATTTTAATAAAAATAATCTGTCATATATTTGTTTATTGCATGTGTGTCGTTAAGGTCCTGAAGGTCCCCCTGGTATGAGTAAGGAAGGACGTCCTGGAGAGCGTGGGCAGCCTGGTAAAGACGGAGATCGTGGCAGTCAAGGAATGCCAGGACCGGTTGGACCCCCTGGAATTTGTGACCCATCACTATGTTTTAGTGTAATTGTGGGGAGAGATCCATTTAGAAAGGGACCAAATTATTAATTTGTGATACAATAATTTAGAGGAATAGGTATGGTGCTTGTCTTTTATGGTCTTTCAAGTCTCAGGAAGGTGACCAGAAATAATCCCGTAAGCAGGAACAAAAGTACCTCTGACATTCTAAGCATTATAAATAATGATCCCAAAGGTTATACTTTCCTTTAGAAAAGAAACTCCAATAATTGTTTTGTAACTTGCATCGATTGAATCTCAAGTGTTTTTAAAGAATCATCAGTTTTATTAGGAATAAAATTAACTATAATATTTGGTATTTAGTATTTAAGTGTCCTGTCGTACTCCTGTTACCACTGAAGTCCTTTGCAAAATTGCTGGAGACGCCACTGGGAGCAGGATTAGGCCTTAAATGGTATTGGTCAGGTATAAATTACTGTGAAATTTTTCACATGCAGCCGACATACACAGTATTTGATTTTGAAAGAATGTGGCTGGCTTTGACTTCATATGTGTGTGAATCTCATTGGCTTGTGTACATTTCATATGTCATAGCTCCAAGCGTTCTGTGAGCAAAAGCATGTATCAGATTTTTATAAATTAAGAGAAATATCTGGACTTACTATGGAAGTAATATCTCCTATTTTGCCATGCAACTCTTAGCTTAAAACCAAGGTGAAATGCAAGGGTAGAACTCCTACTGGTTTAAGAGCAGCCAGGGTTTTATTGAAGATGGTACTTTCAGCTACAAAAGGTCAAAAAGTTCTATGTGGGTGATTCAACTTACATAAAAACAGCATTAAAAAATAGAACAAAAAACTGGTATAGCTGGCTTGAGGCTATGATTTGACAAAAATAAAAATTAAAAAATGTTTGCACAACCCCAGTGTAACAGTTCTGCATAATTAGGTATTAAGTTATATACCCTTTGCTGTTTCTCCCCAAGGACTGCAGTTGCCAAATTGAAGAAGCAGGTTTACAAGGAGAAAGGTCTAACTGCTAGCTGACTAGCTGCAATGTTTGTTATGCTGTTTCCTTTTTCATTTTAAGCAAACTATGTGTAATTTTCATTGTATGCTTTGCTAATGAGGTGTATTGCTTGCTTTTACATAAAGAGCGAAGGCACAGTTCCCATGAGAATTTAAAATCCATTTCTTAAATTAAGGCAGAGTCTTGTATTGAATTTAACCAATGCTTTCTAAGTGGCTTTTTCTAATGTGTTGTTTTTCTGTTGTCGTACTATCAGAGATTGGTAATATGCTTGACATTCAAGGTAAAATAAAATTTTGTAAAGAACTGGTGATGGCTTGATGAGTGATTGCAAGAGTCGCCTGTGTCGCAGAAAAGAGTGATGCCTGTAATACATGGAGGGGTAGTTCCACCTTGCAGCTGTGCTGTTTTGCCCCAGTGTCCTTCCATTTCTTCTGAAGAAAGCGCCGTCCCTGGGAGCAGCACCTTTCTGCTGGAGTCCCACTGCCTGTGGGGCAGGGAGTGCCGGAGCGGCCAGCTGCACCGTGCCCAGTGGCTGCTGCCCTCCCAGAGCTGCGGCCCGTGAAAGGGTGATTGCAGTGACAGCTTAGCCAAACCACAGCCTTGGTTATAGTGGAGAGCAATCATGAGCATCTCATAAAACCTAGTCTAAACACCTCCAAGATGATTCTTGAAAGATACTGACGTGGACCTGAGAAGTGAAGCCATGCATGAAGTTTTCTCCCCAGACAAGAGTTCCTCGGTACACACGGTAGGACTTTGCTCATGTGAACAAAAACTGGTTGAATTTGTGGAAGAAAGAATCTAGAAACCTCTTATTTTGTTGTGTTCAAGCTCACACTTTATTTTTTGAGAGCTGGAAGTGAAACATGTCGCTAGGTCAGAAAGGAATCAGGATCCCAGCATGTTTGTAGAACCTTTCCGAGCTGTCCACACTGCATGCTAATTAAATCCATATTTAAGACACTTTTTCCAGTAAGATGCATGGTGGTGTGACTGGTGAACCTGGGAGGAAGCAAAAACAACAAAAAAAGAGCAAGTCAGAAGGACCTCTGACTGCAGCAAATACAAACAGAAAACCAGGTTCCTTACTTGTATAAAATCCCAGTATTTGTTTTCATTATAATTTAAAATAACACACATACATTCTTGCACATCAGAGGCATGGTGGAAAAGTTGGAAATTTTTCAATATTTCACTTTTTCTTTTTGCCTTCATTTAGGCAAAACATTTCCTTGTATATCCACACATTTCAGTTTTATCAAGAGGAAGGAAAATTTTAATGTTGTGCATTTGACAGGAAAAAAGGCTTGATTTATCATCCAGTCTGATTGGTAGCTTAGGTTATGATTTCATTTGATGAAATTCACATGTATATCAAGCTTCAATTTTAAACGTAGTGGTGGTTTTGTCACCCCATTAGTCCTGTCGGAGGGTTGTTTCTGAATGACTCTGAGAATCTATATGTAATTTCCAGTCTGCATCTATTAATGGCCATTTGATATAGCTTCATTCTTCCGCTAATGTTGTCTTTGGCTTGAGTTACTCCTTTTCTTTTGGCATGTTTTAGAAAACCACTGTTCCATGACAGCCTTTCGTCTGCTAGGTTAGGCAAGCAAACCTTTTATTTTCCACCTGTTTGAAAGGCTCTCCACTGCGTGTTCATCCTTGTAGTTCTCTGCTTCACTTTTATGAGGGGGAATGAGTCATTCTAGAAATATGTCCATAATTCTAGGTAAGGAACCTCAGTTATACCTCAGTGATGTTGCTACTTACTTGTTAGCCCACTCTTCCAGTCTATCCAGGTCTTCCTGCAGGGTGGCTCTCCCTTCCCGAAGTGTCCACTTCCTCACTCAGTTTGGTATCATCAGCAAACTTCATCAGGGTACACTGGATCCCATCATCCTAATCACTTATGAAGATATTAAACAGCGTTGGGCCCCATATCGATCCCTGGGGGACCCCACTTGTGACAGGTTGCCAGTTTGAAAAGGAGCTATTTACCACCACCCTCTGGGTGCAGCCTGTCAGCCGGTTCCCCACCCACTGCACAGACTACTTCTCTAGACTGTAATGCATCAGTTTCTCTAGGGGGAGGCTGTGGGAAACCATACTGAAAGCCTTGGAGAAATCCAGGTAGACAATGTCCACCGCTCACCCCACACCAGCCGAGCAGGTTACTTTGACGTAGAAGGTGGTCAGGTTTGTCAAGCACGATTTGGCCTTGGTGAATCCATGCTGGCTTTTCCCAATTACGTGCTTCATTTGACTTGTGATAGGCCCTAGGAGGATTCGTTCCATAGCTTTCCCAGGGACCGAATATAATTTCCTGGATCCTCCTTGAAGCCCTTCTTACAGATGGGGGTGACATTAGCCTTCTTCCAGTCTTCTGGGGTGTCCCTCAATCTCCAAGACTTCTCAAAGATTATGGAAAGCGGCCTTGCAATGATGTCAGCCAGCTTTCTTAACACCCTTGGGTGCATAGTCAGGGCCCATTGATTTGTAGGGGTCAAACTCCTGTAACAGGTCATATACCAACTCTTCCTTCACTGACGGTGGGTCTGTGTTTGCATCAACCTGGATTTTTGTTCCCAAGGCCTGGGGCCCAAGAGTGCTGGTAAGGACAGAAGTGAAAAGTGTTGAGAACCTCCACCTTTTCAGTGGTGTTGGTGACTAATTCACCTCTTCTGTTTAACAGTGGGCCAATATTTCCTTATGTTCCTGCTTGTTGTTTACATACCTGAAGAACCCTTTCTCATAGTTTTTGACATCTCTTGCCAATCTCTATTTGAGCTGAGCTTTTGCTTTTCTAACTGCATCTCTGCATGCCCTGGCAATGCCCTTGTAGTTTTCAATGGGTATTTGTCCGCTTTTCCATCTCTGGTATGATTCTCTTTTGGTTTTGAGCGTACTCAGAAGCTCGCAGTTAAGCCAAGGTGGTCTCTTGCTCTGCCTACTTCCCTTACCTTTAAAGGGGATTAACTGGTTTTGTACTTCCAGGAGAGTGTTCTAGAAAAATTCCCAGCACTCGCTAGCTACTTTATCCTCCATGGAAGCTTCCCATGGAATCCCTTCCAACTGAGTTCTGAGCAAGCTGAAGTTTGCTCTTCTAAAATCTAGAACATTTGTCTTAGTACTAACCTTCAGCGTGCTCAGCAGAATCCCAGACTCCACGGTATTGTGATCACGGCAGCCAAGGCCGTCACTAACTGAGATACTACAAAGCAGGTTTTCTTGGTTTCTCAGTAGCAGGTCCAGCAGGCCTCATTCCTGGTTGGCACATCTAACATTTGTATGAGGAAGCAGTCCTCTAAGCATTCCAGGAACTTGATGGATGACATATGAGCTGCTGTATTGTTCTTCCAACTGAAGTCTGGGTAGTTGAAATCACCCATAAGAACCAGGTTCTGCTGACCCGAAGCTTGTTTAAGGGACCCAAATACTTCTTCATTGGCCTTATCATCTTGGTTTGGAGGTCAGTAGCAGATGCCTACTGTAAGATCCCCCTTGGAGATGACCCCTCTCATCTTGACCCAGAGGTGTTCGATAGGGCTTCCACAATTGCCATAGTTGACTTCTGTACATTCAAGGTTCTCCTTAACATAAAGCACAACTCCTCCTCCTCTTCTTCCCTGCCTGTCTTTATGAAACAACCTATAGCCATCCATTATGATCCTCCAGTCATGTAAGTTGTCCCACCATGTTTCAGTTATTCCTATGATATCATAACTTTCTGACTGGGTGTGGAGCTCCAGTTCCTCCAGTTTGTTCCCCAGGCTGCGTGCATTGGTACATATACACTTGAGGTGGTTGGTCTCCTGGTTCTCATCTTGGGAAGCAGCTAAGGAACATTATTTTTTTTTTTTTTTTTTTTTTTTTTTTTGTCTAAGCAAATAAAGTGAGACTTTTACTTTTCCTCCACTCCTGGTATCAAAGGTAGCTTACTCTGGCCCAGCATCAGTATTTCTGTACAGTGCTGCTCAGAGAGTACAATCTCAGCTAGTGCATGTCTTTGTCACAGCTTTAAAGCAAAATCTCATGTTGGAGCTATTTCACTTCATATAAGAAGATAGTAAGAAAAACTGACTTTGAAAACTAAATAAGATATTCCACTGAATGTAAAACAAACAT